ATATATATATATATATATATATATATATATATATATATATATATATATATATATATATATATATATATATATATATGATATGGCACAACGGGAGCGTTGTCAACAAGGATAAATATATTTATTTCCCAACAGTTTCGGGAGGGGTCCTCCCTTCGTCAGGGGATGAGGCATCAGACTGCCAACATGCAATTCATCTGTCACGTGATGGCGCCAACACCAGTGGGTTCTACCATTGCTGGCTCTGGTGCTTCGAGGCACACACCATACAGACGCAAGTGGTCGTCATCATTTGCCAGTCACCTCACTCACTGGATATATATATATCGAATGTGCCACTACTGATCCATTAGTAAAATAACTCGACGCAAGTATCGTTCAATTCCGTGGCATTTTCCCCATCAGAGTTGTCCTAACAAAAGGTGAGAGACGACGACCCAGGTTGCTTTTTTTTTTTTTACTTCACCAAACATAGTACGAAAATGAGCCGGAACACTAGGGTATGCCCTCGCGTGTGGTGCTTAGCCGTGTAATCTGCACTGGCCGCCTTTCTTTTTGCACGAACAGTATGGATAATATTATATTTATATGTACCAAGATAAAAAAAAAGTCATTCGCAGGTGTTCCTCCGTCGCCGTTTCCCAATCAATTCAGTACCGCGTAATCTGCGAGGTGTTTGCGCGTGTAGTGTCACTACCCCGGAAAGCGTCCCCTACCACGGCTCAACCATATTCGCAAACCTTCACGGAAAAATCACAGAGAGCCAGGAGATGCGATTCGTTATATGTGAAGGAGAATGAGCTAGCGAAGCTAGAGGCTCAGAACAACAACAACAAAAAAAATCCGGCGTTCTAAGAGTTTCCCAAAGTGAAGCGAAGCATCAACCCTTGTTGCTTCGCTCGTTCTCGGAGACGCGCTGGAGAAAAAACAAGACTCTTTGCCCTTTTTGTCAACCTCGTTTGCGGTGTCGCGAAATGCGTACAAGAAAAGCGAACGTCAAGTTTGTGTCGCATAACGGACGGCGAACAAACCTGCGCGCTCTTGCGACGTCACGACGCTGAGGCGAAACTCGTTGGCTCTTCGTCAAAAAAAAAAAAAAAAAAAAAAAGAATGCACTGTTTTTTCTCTCGACGGGACGCAAGCAAAGGTTCGTTGTGGCAAACTACTCACTGCAAATGAAAAAGTCACCCTACAGGGTGCGGAGGCAAAACGAAGCAATGCCATTTAAAAACACCACAAGTTCAAGTACGCAGACACTTTCAAATACGTTCATTTAGCGCGCCCTACGAGAGTATCTTTCGAAAACAACGTGGCAGACTAAAGAACACTGCCGGTTATAACACGTGAGCTAAATCATCATCGGACATACTCTTGAACTCCACTGTGGTTACTGTCCGCGAAGGTTACTGTTCTTAAAAAAAGAAGTGTTCATTTCATAGCCTACAAGCAAGTTACTGCATGCGAGCACCTCGAGTTGGACGTAGTAACAAGTGCGCACGTGTGTTTACAGGCATCAGACTGCCAACAGGCAATTCGTCTGTCACATGATGGCGCCAACACCAGTGGGTTCTACCATTGCTGGCTCTGGTGCTTCGAGGCACACACCATACAGACGCAAGTAGTCGTCATCATTTGCCAGTCACCCCACTCACTGGATGAAGTTCTTAAATATTTTTTTTTACCACGTTCCGACCATCCTCTAGCCAGCAGACTCTTGGCCACAAGCCTACAGTTACAATAAAGGAGCAACACGCAGTAACACTACATAACACCAGCCAAGGACAACACCAGTATTGCGAATAGCACTGCTGCTTCTCGAAACTTTAATTCATTTCAAGTAATGTTTTACAGTTCTTTTCTAACCAATTGTGAACGCGAATCCGAGACAGCTGTGGGGCAAAGACTCGGTTGTTTCGTGAAATAGCAACTTGCAAGAAAGTGTGCTGACGGCTTCGGCTTGCGAGACCAACTCGCGAGGAACCCTTTAGATAAGCGCTGTTACAATATTTTTTTACGAGTATCGCGCAAGGCCACGTGTCTCACCTGTTCCAGTAATTACAGTTTACGACGCTCAAAATGAAGCGTATTAAACGTCGCTGTCGTCTGACCACACAGCCGCCTTTCTACAAGCTGGCAGGGAAGGACAAACGAGGACGGAGATTGAACAAAACCTAAGCGCAATCCAATGCGTAAGAACTGCCTTATGACGGCATTACAAAAGCAGGCTTGGAGAAAAATGACAAATGAGACGGCGGAGGTACTCAGTCGACATCCGTACGATCGTCGCAAGGGCCGATGCAGGAGTATCCGCGACAACTACAGATAAGCAGTGAGGGGGTTGCAAGGGAAACATACTCTTCGATAAAAGGCGCGGCTTCGGCACATGGCAGCACAGCTGAGCTCGCCGCTTCCTCCGAGCAGCGCATTCACACTCTAGTCTGTTATCTCCCAACGTCTCCTCAGAAAAACGTGCGCCCTCTTGACAGAGTGCCCCGTACGCTATCATTCAACGAAGAAGAAGAAGAAAAAAAGGCGTCCTTGATCCACATTCGCAAGACACTTCTTCCATTTCCTCCTACGTTCTTTTTTTTTTCTTCCTGCACGTAGAATGTCGTCCCGCGTGGCCTTTCTTACAACGCGACAGCGTTCCGTTTTCCTCGTCGCGAATTTTATGTAACGCGAAGAACGGGACCGTTGCGACTCGTCCCGATTATGCGATGAAGGCACACCGGCAAAAAAATGCTGTGGCTAGGTAGAAACAACCAACATAATAAATAGAGGAGGTATAAAACAGGCGGCTCATAAGTCAACACAATGTTTAGAAGTCGCACTTTACAGAAAGCGAAGGGTAGCATGCAAAACGTCAGTTTTACATGCTACCTTCCACGTGCCAGCAATGCGACCCGTCTTGTACCAGCAGTGCGGCAGTCTTTCAGGCGATGCGCACAACAATAACGCTCCCAAAGCCCTCATTTCAGCACAGCATGTCGTTCACATACCCCAAAATGGGATGAAATTCTAAATTCAGCGTAACTTCAGAATAAAAGATGTTCACTAGACCTACAGGTGGCTCATAGGCTGCATCTTGTTTGAAATGTTTGTTTTGCTGGAAAAAGCAGTGCAGTAACGGCGTTAACTATTGAAATATGCGCGAGAGTAATGGGATGCGATCACGCGGACACACCTCGTTCCGCCCAGCACCTCAGAGTTGATGAAGCTGTAAGGCAACAATAACGCATCTGCAGCACCTACGTCAGCACCCAGCGCGTAAATTGAAATTTCACCGTGTTATAAAGATCGCCAGCGCGCGAACACGGCAGCTGTGTACCGGCGTACGGATGAGGAACGGCTAGCATCATCTGACCAAGTTGCAAGGCGGTCTAGTTGGTGTGGGTATTTTGGATAACAAAGGCAGCGGTGCAAACAGGACACAAGAGGGCAAAGAAGACAAACACGTTATCAGCTGACAAGCCGCGCAAGCATTCACACGGTCTCGAGGCCCTCTCAAAGGCCTTCAAGACGCGGCGTGGCGTCACATGCCCGGGAGTGGCTGGGGGGGGGGGGGGGGGGGCGTAGCCCGCGGAAACCGACCGACCGGACGCATCGCCGGCCGGCAGACCGAGAAGCCGCCATAAAAAGCCACTGCGGCGCGTCGCAGCTGATTCGAGGCAAGAGCGAGAAGGTGGTGGTAGTGATTAGAATGAAGAGGAAAAAGGCACCTAATTTCTGTCTGCCTTCAGGCGACACGGCGCAGTGCCTTATAGGGGTGGGGTGAAGGAGGGATAAAAAGAATAGAAGGAAAGTAGAAGCAGAAGAAGACAGCCAACGAGAGGAAAAAGAAGGAGATAGGAAAGTGGGGATCCGGTCGAAGCAGTCCAAGGGCGGGGTGCCACAATGCGAGAGCTACACGGCGTCAGGAGACCGCGGAGGGCGAACCAGTCGGCGGGAGCTACGCTGAAGTCGGAGATCGCGAGGGCACAACCGTCCAGCTTGAAATCCTGCGAGCGAATCCCGAGAAGGAAGAACCGACGCGACGGAAAGGAAGGGCGAGGAAGGAGAGGGCCGCCGGTCCACAGCTGCTGCTCCCTGGATGCGAGCCAGCGAGGAAGACGGCCCACACCAGCGCCGCCATTGCCCGGCGGCGTCGGCGGGCAGCAGCGACGCAGCAGCCAAGCCAAGTCACACAAAGACCCCAGCCAGCCGCGCCGATGTTGGTCGCGCCGGCGCGCGCCGGGGCCCGGCGCCGAGTTCGTTCAAAAAAACGCGGCTGCGCTGCGATCGGACCCGCCCCGCTGGCAAGCACGACGGGCTTTGAAAAGCACAAGCCGCAGCACTGCTACGAAAACGTGCACCGCGAAAACTAGGCACAATCGAGAAAGAGGCCTCGTGCAAAGCGTCCACCACGTGGTGCAGCAGCTGGTACACGCCCGCTTTGCGCGGTCGCTGTTGCACGCAAAAGAAGTTCTACTTCAGAAAATAAGCACGTACGCAAAGTAACATGTCCCCCGCGAAAGAATTTATATTAATAAAGGACTTCACAAACACGAATATGGCGACAAACATGAGCGCTCGCGATGACCGAGCCGGCGCACCCGTTTAAAGGGCCGCGGCGGGAGAGTCAGCTGAGCACGCAAATTTTGAGAAATAACGGCACTCCCTTAAGACAATGACTACGCCAATTTCGAGTGGAAAAAGAACACGCGGACACGCAAGGATTTCGAGCGATGAATCAACCGATCACGGTGATCAGCGGCACCGTCAACGTGCGGCCCGCCGCACGAGGAGCCTGTTCGAACAGCTGGCTCGAGGAGACGCGGTCGCTGCGCAAACAGCTGCTGGCCCGCCGGTGACGCCCGACATCGTGGAACCAGGCGTCGTAGCGACGCAGAATTTCCCGCCGCGTATGAAGCGACCAAAGCACGGCGGAACTCGAAGGAACCGGGAGTGGCGGCGTACGAGCACGCGAGACGCGCCGAGCGCCGGGAGAAACGTCACACCCTTACCTGACCAGGCTGCCGATCACTTCTTCCTCTTGCCGACGAAAATCGTTGAATATCCGCCGTTTTTCCGAGCTCCGATGGTATAACGCCATCACCCGGTGGCACGTATCCACAAAGACAGGTGTAATGAGGTTGATCTCCCGCACCAAATCGAAAAATCCGCCGCTCCTATTTACAAAGGCGCCTCCGCTTGATTCACCGAATGGCTACCTTTGGCGGGAAACGCGGCGAGCGTGCGAGTGTGTATCCTTCCGCGGCCCGGCGAAAATGCAACATTCGTAAAAAACTCTGTACTCCCACAAACTACATCCTAAAATATTAAGTAAAAGTTTCTTATTGTACTAATTTGCGCAACAAGTCACGCAAACAACGCATTTTTGCAAAACCGGTAGAACTATTTTTTTGAGCGCACTCTGTTTGCTGCCTTGCATGTCTATCAGCTGTCGAGCTGGCAGGAACACGCTTTCAGCTGAGACCCCGTCTTGAGAGAACTGACACTGCGGTTCGCGCATTCTTCTTTTACAAGCACTAAATTTTTTTTAAAAAAAGCCTGAACTTTTGTATAAAAATTAAAACAACGTTTGAATTTATTCATATTTGTTTGCTACAGTTTGCACTTGTTTCAAGCAAAAGAATTGAATGTTTTTCTCTATTGTGACTCCATTTTCTCCATAGTAAGCTACTACGTCGGGAATTCCGGCCGACCAATAGGAGGAGAGTCACGTGACTGAGGAGTCGTTACGTCAATCAATAGTGGCGGGAACCGCCGCATCTGTTTTTGCGTTGTTCAAATGATTTCTTTTCCCTCTCTGCCTTTTCTCTCACTCTTTTATTCTCTCTCGCTTAGCCTCTCTTTCATTCGCTCCTTCCTTCGTTCTCCGCTCACCCCTCCCTCGGCTGTTCTCGCAGCGCGCTTCGCTTCTGTCGAGAGATTGCCGACGTTTGGGGCCTGCTCCTTTCTTAGGTGGCCGTTCTTATTCACCTCGTGGGCTGCCGTGCGCCCGTTCCATGTGGCGTGAAGTGCGACTTCGTATTCCGTACAGGTGTACCGGAAGGGAAGAAGATTCTGCGGACGAGTAGGCTTGGCTTCACCGCGAGAACGATGTGCGGTGTGGGCCCGTTCGAAACTGCCGCGGTCTTTTCTGATCTGAGTTGTTTGCGGAACTTCGACTCTCTAGTAAATTGTCCGCGCTCTGGACCGCAGTGTAATGGTACTTGACGTGTCTGACAAAATCAGGTCTCGTGTAGCTTCAACCCCCCTCTCTCTTATTGTGTCTTATAAGTAAGGAGCTATATACTCACTCCATTTTATATTATTTCATCATTGCCTCTTTATATACAAGGTGGCATCGAACAAGACTGGTGTTTGCTTGACAGTCCTGCCTATCTTTGCTACGGACTCCATTTCATTGCCAGGTCTCATGGCCCAAATACACTTCCCGGAATCGTTTACTTCAGCAATACCGCAAGCATGAGCCACTAATTAGCAGTTTGCGAAAATCCGCCAGCCAACTGTTTACAAGGCACCATTTCAACGAAGAATTCTCGTTTACAGACTGCTCTTTCCACTCGTGCTTTTCCAGGGAAAGTACGTGAATACCTAAAACGTTTTTTTTTTTTTCAGAGATTACTATGCCATTGTCGCGCGTCATTGTGGACCCTCAAGGCCGAGCGTGGTTTACAATAAACCAATCGTTAAGGGGGGACGCACTTTCACTGGAACTGAGAGTGGCAGGAGCTCTGCAAGAAAGTGAAGTGGTCTTTGAACGAGAGTGCTTGACTAAAGAAAAAAAAATCTTTGCAAAAAACATTCTTGCAGACTTTTTTTTTTTTTTGAAACCGTACTCATAAGAGTGAAATTCTCGCCATAAAAATTGGGTTGCAGCTAGGCCCAACTGAAGCTTCACCTGAAATCCGTTGTTTCGGCACTGGGTGTGTCAGCGCGTGGTACGGGAATAAGGTACGGTATTACCGTACCGCTCTTTCCTTTCTTTCTAGTTCTTCTTGAGCCACTCTTAGTCCCAGTGACAGTGCGTCCCCCGAATGACAGTTTCCTACTTAATAAGGCGTAGGCTGACAGGCAACAAATAGGCGTACCAATCCTACAGCAATTCTCGAAAAAAAGAAAAAAAATATTTGTAGGGTTGGGGTGTCCTCTGACTCCGTAAGCGGGAAAAGCACAGCAAACAGGAAAGGAGGGGGTAATTTCGTTACATATTTCTTTAACTCGCTGAAAGACTACAGCAACCTGTTTCCCTTAGAGGGAAGATCTCCCGTTATCGAAAATTTCGGATTGGCTTCTGACGCTTCCCTGCGTCCTCTAAGCGGAACAAAGCAGAAGCATTTAGTCTGTCGCGGCCTTTGTCCCCGGGACTTGGTTCGAACCTCCTCGCCCGTGAGTGATGATGCCTCTGAGGGGGAGGGAAGGACGCAACGAGGCAAACTGCAAAGGAAAGATAAGGGACTTCCGGCCCCATAAGCGTACGCTCTCTTTTATTCCCGCTCGCACATTCGTTCTTCCGATTGTTTTTCCCTGTTCTCCCCCGCTTATGGTGGCGCGCCCGACCCACATCGCGCTTCTGTTGACGCTGCGTGGCGCTCTATTATTGTTGTGGATTGGCTTCGACTCGGCCAGCGGTTCAGATAACGCACTGTCATTTTCTCTAGAGTGCACGAATAACGATTTGCAGTGATGGGCTGCCTGCTTGCTGCTCGCGCCGGAAAGGCTCGCGGAGAAGCCGAACCACGGCGCACCCGATTTTGGTGCGATGATGTGGCGGGATTCACCTTTTTGTTCTTGTTGTTGTTGTTGTTGTTGTTGTTGTCTTGGATCAAGCGCTGCGTCGCGTTTGTTTGCCCAAAATGCAATCGCGAATAGGTGGAGAAGCGGAAGGGACGGCCGGTTCTGCTTTCTCGTTCTATTGCCTCTGGAAGACAGCGCTGATTGCCCTCGTAGAGGTTCAGAAGTGTTGTTCCGCGTACGTAACTGTAGCCACTTTAAATTCTCTATTTCGCACGCTGCAGCAGTGGACAAAATATCTCCGGCAAACGATGTCCACTCGCTTTCATGTATTCGTGTAGTCTAGCAACTCTATTCACCCATTATTAAGTCGCAAGTTGGGAGTTCTCCCAATAGTTATGATGGCTAAGGCACCGGGGTAATATAGGTCATTTGTCAAATACAGCCTCTTTCCGGGGAGCAGTCAGATCCTGAATTTTTTCTTTAAAAAATGGTTCGTTTGCTTCGGTACGCTCCAATGATCCATTTTCATGGGTAATCCGGTGACGGCGGATTGATCTTGATCTTAAAGGATGGGTGATAGAAATTGGGGTTAAAAATAAAACAAAAAAAGTTTGTTCGAGAAATTGAACGAGTACATGAAACCATTCATTGCCGTTATACGGTCGGTACAATCTTCCCACTGCGTTGGCTGGTTGCTGAAAACAATGCTTGTAATTTCGCTTCTCCGCTCTCCAATGATGCAGGGTAAATCGACGTGTTCGAAGGTTCGAACACTTTCACAGATTCCAACCGTTGAAACGAGTAGTACATTGAGGTAGGCTTTCGCCAAGAGTAACGAGGGAATATAGGAGTGTCTTCAAATAGGAGGAAGAGTGGCATCGTCTAGAACGACATGGCAGTCACGTTTGTTGAAGGAGAAATACTGACGATGTTTCCGGCTCGTGGGGAGGCAGCGCGAAATACTGAAACACAATACTTCCGTCTTTTGCGCTGCTTCAGACTATAAACGTGAACGAATTGATCCAGGCTTTTGGGTATGAGAAAATGCTTGGGAAATCACGACAGTGTTATCGGGGATGACGATAACAATGGGTGAGTAGAAGGGAATTGACAAAGCGCAAAATGAAATGACTATGTATAGTGTCGCCAAGCCGCGGTTATCGTGGCCGGAGCCTTCCTATCTTCATCGTCTCAGCTATCTCAGCCTGTTCTGCCGCGATATTACTCCAGGGGGGGCCGCGTTGCTATTTTCCCAAAGGGTGAGGGGAAGCGGACGTCAGAGTGAGGGTTCGAAAACCAAACACTGAATCGAGGAAGGGCACGCGTACACACAAAAATATTCGTCGTTGTAGCGACCAGCACTTGCAAGTTTACTTACGCAATATTCATACCAGCAGTTTATTGCAATACAAACAGCAGTATAGATTTATTCAATGGTGAGGGCGAGCTCCTCTTCCCTGGACTTTGGCCTATCAGATCAGCGCGAGGGCGGACGCACACTGGCGTGATTGCCTCAGCAGTGCATGTTTGGTGACGCCTATTCATCATATCAAAGAGAAAATTATGGCGGCACCCGTGAAGTCTTCGTTGAAACGGCCCTTACTGATATATGCTATAGGACAAAATTCAGTCAGTAATTTGGGGTGCTATATTAGAAGGGGCACGGCAGTGGTAGACAAACGCACCCCTATCGAACCGTAATGAACGCCTTTTCGTCCCGCTGCTTCATGCACCAGGCAACCCAGCGCGATATCCTCCTGCTGTTCTATGCTTCTGTTGCGCGTACATCCGCGACACTTCTTGATCTTTTTTTAAGTTAATAATTACTGCAAAGCACCGCTGCCGCACTGCCGGTAGTGCAACCTGGATTTGAAACACCGGGCAGCTGTCTCTCCAGAACATCTTTTTCTGCCATGGGACACAGGGCAGAAAATAACATTCGATCCCAACCCACCGTCTGCTCACGCCCGAAAGGAAATCTATCTGGAAGAGAAGCAAGCCGTGGATCATCCACTTGGAGTTCGAAGAATTTCGGGTAGCACGCCGCCGAGTGCAACCGGTGCGTGGCCGGGCTGAGAAGCGGCGTCAGATGGCGCTACGTGTCCAGGGAAGCCCAGGAGAAGTGATGGGCAGAACAGGACTCTTCGGTGAGCGGCTCAGAACGGCCCAGCTGACTAAAATGAGCCGGTTCGTTTGAATGAGATACCGGTTCACCTGAATCCACGGAGAAATGAAAAATACTACGACTAAGCGTAACGTGTTTTCAGCTAGCCTCGGCAAGCCAATCTCTCCTGATGACGCGCCAGTCGCATTTCGGTGCCTCGTGCGCGATGCCAGAGACGAAACGTTTGGCCGGTGGGCCCCCGCGGAGGAATCTGAAGACGCATATGGGGTGGCCAGCCACGGACGTCAACAGGAGGTGAAAAGGGGGACCCGTCTCAGGCCACGCCAGCACTGGACA